GTGGATTTCTTATGCTTCGAGGGGTGCATCGATTAGCTTGGGACCGAAGAAAGTACCAGAATTGAGCCAAAAAGTTGAGCACGTTTCTTCGGGACCTTCTGGTCTTAGAGTTACCTCTATGCTAATAGCCTTCGTACTACTTTAGATGGTTTTTTTTTTTTTCTCCCTGAAATATATATCTAATTTCCCCAAAATGGTTTGGCGTGCCTTTAAGCGAAGACAACAAATCAAGAAGACTGGCAATTCCTCCATTTTCTCAAACGAACGCTATGAGACAAGTACAATCGCGTCATCTGCCGCTCAAAGGTAAATGCTTTGAACAAATTTGATAGCAAAGATTACGGGAGTAGGTACTACGAAAGGCCGAATCACAGAAGGCCGAAAACACAAAAGACCAAAATACACAAAAGGCCGAAATAACTCGTGAAAACGACAAAGTGGAAGTGCATCTTCGAAATAAAATATAATGGAAGCTACTTAGGCTGTGAACCATTTGCCGAGTTAAATTTAACTCGTGGTTAAAAGTGACATTTCGAAAGTTATTTTCTATGTTCGAAAATCCCCGTGCTGTCGATCGACCGGTTTTCGAGCCACGGTTGTCAAAATTTAACTTCTTGTCTGTCAGAAATAACCATGCTCGGATAGCAGGGTTAATCGATAACTTTTCATCTGTCAAATTTTAACCAAAAGTTAAAATAATCCACCAAATGGTTCAGAGCCTTAATAGCCACTCGATTTCCGGAACGAAAATTTGAAGAAGAAAAAAACTTAAAATTTGGGTAGCTTTAGTTTTATGTTTGTTTGAGTGTTTAACGACGATTTAATGACAAGATGGCTTCGTTTTTTGTGAATGCGGACAATTCATCGAAGATACTCAGTTGTAAGAGCAGAAAGGCTTCAGATGCTGAATGATAGAGAAAGTGATAGTTAGCTTTATTTTCCCATATGTTTGAGTATTCAATGACGATGATGGCAGATGGCTTCGTTCAAGATGAAATTCAATATGGGAGGTATTCTCAAATTGAAAATCGTCATTAGCAACGATATTGCTCTTAGGCTGTGAACCATTTGCCGAGTTAAATTTAACTCGTGGTTAAAAGTGACATTTCGAAAGTTATTCTGTATGTTCGAAAATCCCTGTGCTGTTAACTTCTTGTCTGTCAGAAATAACCACGCTCGGATAGCAGGGTTAATCGATAACTTTCCATCTGTCAAATTTAAAAAAAAAAAATTAAAATAATTCACCAAATGGTTCAGAGCCTGTCCGTTTTGCTGAACGTTCTAGCACAGACAAACAGACATAACATATTGAATATTTATCACTGTAAAACATCGTCGCTAAAACATTACCGCCATCTGTTGAATACACTGCGGTGGGTAGTATGCTGAACAGATGGTGGTAGTGTGTAAACGTCAAACGCAAGGGAATTGACTACCAACTACGATACTTTTAAATTGATCGTTAAATGATTGCTCGATGAACAACTTGCGAGTGTTATGTCTGTTTGTCTGTGGTTCTAGTTACACACATTCAACTGCTTGCGCGCTCACTACCCAATCAGAATGTTGTGTACACGGCGAATGAGAACAACCCAAATTTGAGTTTAGTTCACTCATAATTGCCAAAAGTGCAGGAACGCAGCGATGAGTTAAATTTGTCTCATGGTTTCCTGTGGAAAACCTAAAAAAATCTGCCGGAAAATGAGGAAATTGACGAAAATTTTATTCAGTCTCGGAGTAGTACCAGGGCTGTTACAAAATTTTCTAAATTTGATCCGCGAAATCCGCGATTTCTCAAAAGAAATCCGCGACTTCAAATACTAATCCGCGACAAAAAAAATGTTTTCATTGCCTAAAAATACCATTTGTATACTACTACATGGTATTTCAAGCTTATTGCTAATAGCATATTAGATTTTTGCCTGCTCTCAACTTAGTGTTCTTTGAAGTACCTTCACATTTTAATTGAGAGCTTTCTATGCCTGTACCATCCTATGGCCAAGGAAGTAGAGACATTTTCCAACCCGAAAAATTAATAGATCGGACGGGAATCAAACTCAGTCGCCTCCAGCATATACTTGCTTTGCAGCTGCGTCTTTACCGACTGAGCTGAAGGATTATCGTTTGAAAGCTTTGAAAAAAAAAAAATTAAAAAAAATAACAATGTATCATCTTCAGTTATGGGCAGTTAGTCGAAATTCTGAGTAACTAGTTAACATAACAAAACACCATAAACACCATACATTATGAGATTCTATTGAATAATACTGGCCTAGATTTGATTAAACATTATTATAAAAAAAATAATGCATTTTCATTTAAAATGCAAATTTTCTTAAAAGTTAACCTTTGCATCTCTGACGTATTTTGCTGCCCTAAATGTTGTAGTTAATTTGGCTCTAGTTTTCTAAATTTTTTACCGATTCTAACCAAACCTTTTCGTTGTCAAATCATAACCGAATCGTATATATGTGATTTTGTGGATCATGCACGACTTATTACTATGTATACCGGAAATTATAGGTTTTCCAAATCGTCCTGGACATCAGTTGATTTGTTCCACTAGATCAACCATGACTGTGATAAAGTCTGTAGTATCAAAATATGTCCAAACAGATTCATAGTGTCTATATGGATAATGTTTAATTATTTCCACGTATGATCTAGTAGAAAAATAATCTGATCTCAAGAATTATTTCAGAACCTATAACATCTTGTATATGTAGCAATAGGTCGAACACGAACCACATAGACACTTTGAATCTGTTTGGACATATTTCGATACTACAGACATTATTGCAGTCTTGATTGATATAGTAGAACAAATCAACTGAACTCCAGGACGATTTGGAGAACCTAGAATATCCTGTATACATGGCAATTACTCGCATATATACGATTCGTTTATGATTTGACAACGAAAAATGCTATGTTCATATTCGAAAAAAAGGAAAATGTCTCACATTGCACAGACCTCAGGGAATTTCCGTGTAAATCCGGTGTGACTTATAGAATTGAGATCATTTCTCAATTATTTGCATGATGCTTGGTTTGAACCGGTAAAATATTGAACAACAAAATTGATGACAGCAAAATAATCCGGGACGAAAAGGTTACAATGAATTCCACAATTTGTGTGACAGCACATCAGTCCCTTCGCGATTTTCGCGACATCATTTAAAGTTTCCGCGATTTTCGCGACTGAAAGTTCAAATCCGCAACAAATCCGCGAAATTCGCGAAATCCGCGAAATTCGCGAAATCCGCGCCTGTTGTAACAGCCCTGTAGTACCAATAGACTGAGTGAATCCAAGCTTTACTTTTCTCAAATTCGGGAATTTTTCCCTGGAAAAACCTGGGAAAACATGAGGCGAATTTACTCATCGCTGAGTTCCTGCACTTTTGACGATTATGAGTGAACTAAACTCAAATTTGAGTCGTTCTCATTCGCCGTGTATGCGTAAATAAACGGTTCACCTCTATCGCATCTCTTATTTCCTTACCCTTTTCTTACCCGCAGTTTACCACTTACTGGTTTTACCCAAAAAGTCAGCAAGTGAGAACACCTCTATATCTAATATCAACTTGGCTTCATTTTTTGTGAATGCAAACCATTTAACGAGCCGAGTCAGTTGTGCGAGCAGAAACGCTAAAAGATTGTTTGGATGCAGTTTTCAACAAATTCAGTTTTTGATAAATTTTCGGCCTGTTTTGGTTTTCGGCCTTTCTGACTTTCGGCCTTTCTGCCTTTCTGACTTTTGTGATTCGGCCTTCTGTACGCGTCCCAAGATTACATCCTCAGAAGGAAGGTTTGTGTATTTGCTCATTTTTATATGCGTTGCTTCCACTTTCACTCAAGCGCAGCGCTATTGTATCTGTCGCTTGGATTCTGGCAAAGTTGCCAGTCTTCTTGATATGATGTCTTCGCAAAAAGCCATTTGTTCACATAGGTGCTTTGAGTCAGGTCCTGCGTTGAGCAAATGTGCTGATTTTTTGCACAGAGCCTATTGAGGTATACAGAAAGCGGATTATGTTTGGGGAGCAAAACTTTAAGAACATTTCTGAAAAATAAGACAGCCTACTGTACATGCACTTACACTTCGAATTTTCAATTACGCAAATCTCGGAAATTAATGCCCCATTTCACCTGTTATTACTATATCATGTATGCTTCAGTGCATCAAACGTGGAGAAACAGTTTTATTGTGGTACGTGAAAGATGATATGTGTGCACTAAAAGTTTCGAAGTGGTTACGAGAATAAGGATCTCACAGCGAACTTCTATTACCATGACAATCCAGGAAAACCTGGATTTTCATGGTAATAGACACCCCAAATGCCCCTATCCTATATAGTTTACCTACATATGCCACAATAGATCATCAAACTGATCTCAGTAGTTCAGTTTCTCCAACAGAGACAAGGTATGAACAACCCGTTTGCGGTAGTAGGGGAGATGCGTGAGTGATTGATTTGTCAACCCCAAAGATGTCATCAAAATAGGACTAGTTGTGATATTCACCGGTATTAACATAAACGTGCTCCCTAACTCAATGGAAATCCAGACTATTTAGATCACTATACCGACTATCAAATTTGTTAAAATTTACCACCGTTATTCTTCCTCCAGTAGCGATGTATTTCAAGTGCAGATCACATACGAACCCAATTAAAACAACAATTTGTTTTCCTTGTTTATTTCCGTTGCATACACAAAAATCAATCTCTTTTTCTTGTTTTTTTTTTCTTTCTTTTTGATAAATTAAATGATACCATGTAACAAAAAGAATACCTGCTCATCACATCGGATATCGAACGAAATCACACTCGTTCTGATTTCTTCTCCATCTAAAATCTCACCACAATTCTTTTATTTTTCCAATTAATGATTATGGTTTATTGATTGGCTTCTTAAAAATATAACGATTATTCGCTCCTCACTCTCTCTCTCTCTCTCTCACTTACAATTTGCGACATAGGAATAAATAAAGACAAGATGAAGGTTTTTTGGCAGTCATGTAATTTTTATTCAGTCATCAAACATCAAGTGTACAAACGATCATCATCAAACTTACTTACAGACTACTACATTCGCTTAGCAACTTAGACTCGCACCGAACACAGTCTCTCGCACAACGCTACACTACTATAACACGTGCATCGCATAAGATTCACCAATTTACTTAAAAACATGGTCTCTCTAGCTCGCTCTCGCATATTCTCGCACAGCACTCGTGCCCTGGACTAACACTGCTGTTTGTTGTCCAATGTTCCTAAATCCTGACTTTATTCCCATTAAAGATTCATCGGTTTCTTGGAAGCAGACAATCTCGTTAGAATAAGTCGAAGAGCTCACTCGCAATTTTACTTCTGAAGTACTGGTAGTTTTGTCTTTCTTAATAGCTAAATTCATTCAACGCCATCGTCAACAACTACAACAACAACAACAACTACAGGCATCCGTATCACATTCTCGCACAGTATTCTTAATCAACTAGCATTCACAAATTGTTCGTGTCACAGGCAAAATAGTTTCATGTTTCTTGTTTATGGCCAATTCTTTGTGTCTGGTTTCATCAGGGGTCATTTTTAAGCATTCCTCGCTGTACATCTTAAGCGCTAACATTCGTATGGTCGTATTTCCCAGCAACTTTCAAGCAGTGCGTCTCATTTATTGTTTTATTTTCGTTACCATAACTCCATGAAATACATGTTCGGTATGTTTGGAAATGGTTTCTCCCGTTATGTTGTTTGAGACCCGCTCACTCTAAAAAAAATCACACATCGCACATGTTTCGAATGAAATCAGTTGCTTTGAAACCTCCAAAGTATCTTACCGCCCGAAAAATCCCTCACAGAAACCCTCACCACTACTGGTTAGCCTAATTTTTTTTTTGTTTACTTATACGATTAAAATTGTATCAAAATTCAAATATAGTGGATAATTTTGTTGCGTGATATATTTTTTTTTTGGTTTTCCTAGCCCCAGCTTTGGAGGTTTCACCAAGCCAAACGGACAAAGATGGGATGAGTTATTCTTGGGTTGAAAGTTATACTTCTATCACTACTACTACTATTACTACTACTACGACTACTAGTTCATTCATTCATTCATTCATTCATTCGATGGTTTCAAGGGAGGAAGGGAAATTTCTAACACATTGATGTCAGTGTCTACTTAAACTTTCACCAAGTATTTACCACAGTTTTAGGAACCTCTCGTAACCCTCTATGATATCCACACGCTCACCCAAAAGCAAATCTCTCGCACTCGACCTCACACTCACACACACGCACAAATATCGTTATCCGCCTGCTCTCGTCGTCGCTCTTCAAAGTGTTGGTATTATGTTAATGTTCTTGTTTTTTTGTTTGTTTGTTTGTTTGTTTGTTTGTTTAAAATCAGTCATTCTTTTCTTGAGAAAGCTTTTTCCGCTTCGTTACACCTTTATCCTTGGATTGCGATTGATGTTTTGTTTTGTTTTTGTTAGTTTCAAGTTGACAATTCGTTTGGCCTAAAATTCAATAGTTTTGCCTTCTTGTATGATACATTTTTAAAACTGTTCGTCCTAATTTGCAAACCCCCCCTCCCCCATCCAGGATTCCCAATAGCATCAATGTTTACTTTTCCTGTTAAAAAAGCTTTCTCAAATCACAGTTGTTTTCATTATATTTTTTTTATTCTTAATTCAACTTAATTCATTTGCGTCTAGGTAAGTCAGTGTTTATAGTTCTTTGCAATTTCAATAGATTCCTACTTAAAGTCTAGTGGATTTTTACGTTCAGTGTATTCCTATTCGTTCATGATTCCGTTGGTTCTTTTCCGTGTAAGGTCGTCAGGTTCAATGTTTCTCAAGGTGCGTTGAGGTTGCAAATTAATGAGAAAATGTCGTTCACTTTCTCGCTAAAATTTGTCAACCTAAAGTTCGTCACAAGATAATAGAGTTTAAGCACAATTTATGTGTGGGATTCTTTCATTCAGTAACGGTCTAGCTAAATAGGAGTGTGGGCGAAATTTTTGTTTCTTGTCCAGATTCCTTTAAACTGATAGTTTCATTCTTCCCTATATAAATATACGACTGGTTTTTTTTTCCCTCAATGGGGAACATACTCTACAAATGATTCGAGAATCATTTCGTTGCCGTAACCACTCAAATACACACACGCACCCATTCACATAGCGTGCTGGACACACATACACACACAAGCATTCATTCGGTTTTAGCAAGAATGAAAAATTTCTCATTGTTTCATTGGTAATTGTTACCGTATTTTTCCTCGATCATTATTCGTTTTCATTTTTTGTTTGTTTTTGTTTGCTTTAACCTGGGAGCAAAGTTTGTTTTTTTTCGCTTTGTTAGTCTTTGTATTTTGTTTTGTATGTGTTTGTTTTGTTTTGTTTTGTTAATGTACCTGAGCAATTGTTGCATTATTTTTTTTTTGTAACACTTACATGATTCCTTTTGTATTATTCATCGCTGAATTTAGCAGTCTAGTTACGAGTGTATGTGTATGTATAGTCAGGAGTCATTGTTCCATTTGTAGTTTAAAAGAAAAACGATCAATGAACAAAAAAAATGTATAAAAATTGCTTTTTTTCTGGGAATCATGAGTTTGTAGCTTATGTTCGTTCTTTTCTTTTTTGTATTGTATCTGTTGTTTCGTGTGTTGTGCAATCGTATAAGTCTCTCTGGTTTGCTGTTTGTAATTCATTTTAGACAATAGTTCGCTTACAATGTTTATGCTCTCGGAAGTTGATTTTGCATCATTTTTCGTTCTTGCGTTTTGTTTTTTGTTTGCTTAATTCTCCTTTATGCTAGAAGAAGCCTACGCGAGGCTTTGCACTAATATACCGCGCACTTATTCCAAAAGTTTACACTCTATGGAATGATAATTTTAGATATACACATACGTTTAAAGGACATGCACACAACTCTCGACGGAAAACACTTGCATGCGCGATCATTCACTGCTTCGCTCACTTTTGTCATGCTTTTCGTTTCAGTGTGTATTGTCATTGTCGAATGAGTACTTTGGGGGAGACTGAAAATTAGCTCTCTTTTTTCAGATTCCATAGTTTTCAAGCCAACTGTCTAGATCTTACAGAAAAAAAACTGAATCGTTTTCCAAATTTCACCGCTTGAAGACTGGAATAATGTGAGCTTATCTCGTAGTCCACCCTGATGGGTATGTAAATGTGGTTCGATTGTTGGATTTCATAAGGAACAAGAGTCATTTGGATTCGAATTTCATTATTTTGGCTAATTAACTACTTATGATTTGATTTGTATGGCTTTAATTCACTCTAGTACAACTTGATTGACGCTATTTCGATTTTATGTTGCAATGATTCTTATTCCTGTATTCGTTATGTAGTTGTGTATAATTCTTACACAATCACTGAAGATGGGATTGGCATTTAAGTCTTACGGCGGTAAGCCCCAACTGGTATTTTAATCGGATCAATTCCATTTGAAAATCAATACCGATTGGAGTTTACCGTTATTAGTGATGGCATGTATTAAACTAAAAAGACAGTCAACATTTTGAACGACATGCGGAAAATACCGTGAAATCCACATACTCCTAATGCAAGTTAAAACAAAAAAAAAATAAATTAATGTTTGGATTCCACAACAGACCCGAATTTATAAAACTACTACCCAGTCGTAGCAAAGGAACCTTTACCTTAAGATTTTGCTGTGTATAATTTATTAAACTGCCACTGCGGATGAATTAATATTTATTGAAGATTTTGTTTTTGAGTCCAAGTTAAATAATACATTTAGAAGCAGTGTTGAAATAATAATAATAATCAAAAAACAATCCCGATAATCATCCAAGTCAGCGAGACCTTTTCTCTTATCTGCTTTTGCATTTCTCTGGTTCGTCCGCCTTGAGAATATGGCCAAGTGAACAATGTTAGCTAGCAGTTTGAGTTGAGACTGAACAACAATTCACTGTAGGTACTTCGCAATGAGAAAGCAAATTGAGGAGCACATACAAGCTTTCTCTCCTCCGTATTACCTCTTTCAATCGACGTACGGTTGCTCTGTGAATCCGATTGAGTACAGGCAGGAGAGACTGTTATTAAATCAACACTGTGTGCAGCACGTGAGAGGAAAATAACATCTCTACTCAATTCACGCCAGGGAGAAAAAATACTTAGTTCGAAAAATACAAGTTTTTTAAAAAATCTCTGCAAGCTCGCAGTTTAATAGTTCGAGCTTTCGCCACGAGGGGTGGAGCTTTGGTTGACCAAAAACATAGGAATAAACCCAATTGCGATGAGACGCGAAATTGCATCAGTTTTTCACTGTGGAGATTTTTGCAAGCACGTTTCGCAAGCGATTTTCTCGTCAGCAAATGCCGATTATCAATTTTCCGGGGTTTTTTTTTTTTGTTTTATTCCCGAAATTTTGGCAATTTTCCCGATTATTGTAGATACATCGGAGAGGTCACTTGATTAAATGAGTTTTCTGTCAGCGACAGAATATTTTCGCACAAACAAGCAAACAAAAACGCGCCGGTGATCGCGCGACATAAATTTATGCAGAGATAGAAATTCTCACTCAACTGCACGGTAAGCATTTCCTCACTCAAGCTACTTTTCGGTAAGTTGTGAGTTGTGTCTTTTTTCACCGATAATTCATTATCCTCTCTCATACATAATCCGAAAATATCTCTCTTCAAAACGCAACGAAAATACTTTTTCATCACCCATTTGGCTCTGAAAACTACTAAGAGCGAAAAAAATACCACCCCAAATTGTTCGGCTCCAACCCAATGTGATGTTAAAAGTTGAGGCTTGGAAATTTGCCGTCTCTTTTGTTCTTCCGCTTATTAAATGGTTGACGGAGTGTGACATCATACTGTGTTATCCATTTAAACAGCGGCAGAACGAAAGGGATAACGATTTCACGTAGCCTCACCTGTTTGCATTGCATTGGTTTCAACCAGTCCGGCAGATTTTTTTTATTATTTCCTTTTTATACCTTCTGTCAAATCATAAGGGTCATCCATAAATGACGATTCAATTTTCTTACCAATTTTAGACCTTCTCCCCCTTCGTGGCGTTTTTTCTACACCTTATGCATGGTCCGTTACAAATGTTGAAACCCCCTCTCCATTACTCCTCAGATTCTACGTAATTTATGGATTTGCCCTAACCGTTGTTTTGGTTCTTAATTTCGGATCATCGTATGCGTGCGGAAAGTGAATTTTCAGGTGTATGAAAGAAGTGAAAAATCATTATCGCCATCAAGAATTCACTGAAAATGAAACGATTTATCAGCCGCTCATGCTCTCCGAAAAAAATAAATCGCTGTTGCTTTTCTCGCGAAAACTACTGTGAGCGTATAATATTCTCTCGCTTCTCACATTGTCATCTATTTCCCTAGCAGGTGAAAAATGACGTTTCTCTTCTCAAGTAGGCGAAAATTTCGAACCCTGAATTTATGTCATGTAGAATGCTGTTGGTTTCTTGTTAGTTACCCAAGTAACCAAAAGTTCCGCATTCAACGATTAAAATCACTTCCAAGTTCCATAAAGTTCGAATAAAGTTCCGACAGAACTTTCAAGTCCCATAAAGTTCAAATAAAGTTCCGACAGAACTTTCAAGTTCTATAAACTTCAAATAAAGTTCCGACAGAACTTTCAAGCCACATAAGACAATCCGCACAAGTATTTATTAGAAACAAAATTGAATGTACGTAAATATGAAATGATCAGTGGCCTGAATAAATCATAATTCTTATATTTATGGAGTACAAGAACATTCTACCTAAAACATAAAAAAATTAAATGTTAATTTCCTGGATTCGAACCCGTGTATTCGGCATTCGATCTACGAACGCTAACCACTCCGCTACAAGTTTACACCAATTTAAAATTCATCAAGGTGTTGTGTTTCGTATTCAGTCAGTCAGCTGGCACTGAAAACTCCAACAGTAGGCGGGACAACAGCTCATTTTAATATATCTCAGATGACGTAGCTTCTCGTGCTGAGACTCTCCCGTAAAAGGACTAGGTTTAATTCTTCAATCAGTTCCAATACTACTACTAATGCTGATAAATCAATACACGTTCATACCTGCCTTTAGAAATAACTTTGATGAAGACCTGACTTTAGAATTAACTTTCATAAAAGTGCGACAATATAAAATCGGTGTAGAGGATAAAAGCCTTTTTAACTTATTTTCTAAAAGTTCCGTTCAAGTTCCGCCAGAAGCTGCTTAGAATGCTCTTCAATTGTGGTGCCGGAACTTTAAAGTTCTTAAAATGACTTAAAAATGAGGCTGCTTAGAATTCTATAGACCACCTTCAACCAAGCTACTTAAGCCACTAATAGCCTTTTATCAGAACTTTTGGTTACTTGGGTACTGCATTTATTTGATGTCTATTGCATGGGAAATTGAATTACAATTAACTGTTTGAAAAAGAATGGGCTGCGACTTTTGTCTTATTCTCTATCTCCGCCGTGTGCTGGCTGTTTTGATTCGCACTGGAGGATGGTTTTGCAGTACAATTGCCACCACTGGTCATGACTACAACAGGAGCATTATTCCTGGATTTTCTGCGCCTGAAATCTTCAACATTTGTCTGTGTTTTAGCTCTTTGTAAGTTGCTGATGTTGATTCCCCTTACTTCAGAACTCTCCTAAAATAAACATGAGATTCTTTCTGATATTCCCTTGTAATTTTCTTTAAAACAGTCCCAAAACTCTCTACAAGAATCTTTTTGAATTTTTTAAGATTCTCCCAAGAAGTTGCTTTAGCTTCCTTTCATGATTATACATAAAACTCGCTTGAATTCTCCTTAGAATGGAATGTCATAACATTTTGCACATCTTCTTCTCTGAATTCTTCTGAAAATTAAAGGGCTTCACCTAAAGGGTGTCCCACATCAAATTGCATCACGAAAAAAACGCTATAGAAAATAAACCATTGGATATTTTCTCTTGAAAATTTGCGTAGAAGTAGTTTAGAGTGTATTGTTTACACTGTATTTTTTATCGCTGTCAGTTTTTCGAAAGTTCCGGAAAACTTTGAGATTATGGCGTTATTGCTTTTGTAAACAAACACGACAATCGCCGATTTCTCGCAAATTAAAGCTTAATCTAAAAAAAACAACAGCACAAACAGGTGGATAAATGATTTCTCTATCATTTGGTATATTTTATTCGCAAGATTGAGTTTCAATTTACGAGAAATTGGCGATAGACGTGTTTGTTTACAAAAAACAATTACGCCCAAATCTCAAAGTTCTCCGGAGTTAAAAAAAATTGCATCACCCGAAAAGCAACATCGCGAATTGATTTTGCGCAAGCACCTGGAAAATCCTCCCCCCTCATCGGGACATCGGAAAACAGCTCCGAATCGTGCAGTCAACGGTGAGTCGTGTGATTAAACGTTACTACGAAGCTCTGAGCATCGAACGGAAGGAGAAATGCGGTCAGAATGGATGTTGTATGAGTGATCAGGATCACAAACGTGTCGTGAAAGCGTTTAAGCGGAATCCCAATGCTTCGGTCAGGGATGTGGCCAAAAAGTCTTTCGTTCAGAGAGCCAATTACCTGGAGGGACTGCATACGTACAAAGTGCAGAAGGCTCCAAATCGTGACGAACGGCCAAATACAGTGGGAAAGTCACGGGCCCGGAAACTGTGCACTCATATGCTGACGAAGCCACATTGTCTCATCATGGATGATAAGACTTACGTCAAAGCGGACTTCCGGCAGCTTCCTGGGCTACTGAGAATCAATATCATAATGATATTGAACCTACTACCAGTTGATTTGTTTCATGCAGCTGGAGATCCAGAGCCAAACTGTGGGTTGCTCACTATGCCCCTCCTCCCCCTATGTATTCGCGTTGACGGCATCGGTCCTTTCGGTGGAGTGAAAAAGAAAGGAACAGTTTACCGTGTTCCACAAACAGACTGACATTAGCTTATGTGATTTTGCTGTAGGAGTAAAGAGTCACAGAGCCTGTTTTGTAGCCAGAGTTGTAGGACAAAGCTATGGCAATTAAAATTGATATATGTATCAGATGAACTACCGAGCAATATGTGCGCTATCTACAGGTGAGGTGCAAGGAAACTAGTCGACTCTTTCATTCTCATGGTGTTCTAATATGAGGTTGTTAGAAGGAAAGGGGTGTAAGTGACTTTGAACGATTCTCTTAATCGACTTTCTCTTTTGATAGCCACAGCTTTATAAACAGATTTTGCGCAATTTCTCCTACATAGTTTGATATAGAAGGTTCTCATCTAGCATCCTGAATGGCACACGAATCAAGGAATGTGTTTGCAGCTGAATTATTAACGAAAGAGAAAGTCGATGAAGAGAATCGATCAAAGTCACTTACATCCCCCTCTTTCTAACCCCCTCATATAGCAACAGACGTTACGTCACGTCTGTTGCTGCATACGAAACCGAGAGAACGAAAGAGTCGACTTGTTTCCATCCTTCTTACCTATAGAAACCGAACATCGCCCCGTGTCAACCTTCATGTTAAAAGTTACCGATGTTCAGGCCCTTTATGCCGATGCTTGCGTTACTCTGTAACCCCAAACTGCCAATGAATGAATGCTACTCACAGGAAAATAATAGAGAGACACTCACTGTCGCCTCGTGAAATTAGCACATTGTCGATCCGTCTTGGTCGCTTCTGACAAAGCAGGCCCTTCCGACGAAGTTATTGTTCTTGGCGATTTTAACCTACCGGGCATTGCTTGGACTCCAACCCATAGTGGTTGCTTTTGTCCTGATCACGAGCGTTCATCTTTCCACGTAGAAACCATCCAGCTCCTGGAAAGGTATAGTACCGCAATTCTGTCACAAATCAATGGCCTGTTGAATGAAAACAACCGCACTATTGAAGGAAGTGCATCATCACCCTGCATAAGTTATCGTGATCGAAAATAATATTGTCCATGATTTCACCAGCACTCCAAACGCTGTGTCATTTGACTTCCGTCGAGCTGACCATCGCAGTATTGTCCATGTGCGGTCTAACCTAGATTGGGAGCATATTCTAGATCCTGTAGACGTCAACATTGCTGCACAAACCTTTTCTCACGACTTGGCATATGTCATTGACTCTCGCGTCCCGTGGATGACGAAAGATCTTCGCTCGTTGAAAAGAATTAAGAAGGCTGCTCTCAGAAGATTTACTAAACTCCGCACACTGCCGCTGAAATGCTACTATGTCAGACCTCAACCACGAGTATAAGCGGTTAAGTCGTCTCTGTTTTCAACGTTATCAAAGGGGGATTCAACGGCGGCTAAAATCGCACCCGAAATCCTTCTGGAACTTCGTAAATGAGCAACGCAGGGAAGTCGGCTTACCCTCTTTCATGATTTTTAATGGTGAAACTGCTGGCAATCAACAAGACCTGTTCTCAGCCAAATTTGCTAGTGTGTTTGAAGACGAGCAACTTCCTTTGGTCAACCAAAGGTTCAGCATCTAAACTTAAGACTTCAGCTAAGGCTGGACCCGATGATGTTCCGTCGATTATTCTTAAAAAGAACATCACTTGTCTTTTAGATCCACTGCGCCGCATATTCCAGCTCTCTCTTTCCGTCTTGCTGGAAGACTGCGGATATGTTTCCTGTTCATAAAAGAGAAGCAAACGCGACGTTAACAACTACCGGGGAATCACGTCACTGAGTGCTGTATCAAAACTTTTTAAATTGGTTGTCATAGAGTCCCTAAATGCGCATTGCAAGCAATATCTAAATATAGATCAACACGGATTCATAACTGAGCGTTCCACAACTACGAACCTGCTGTGCCTAACGTCTTACATCTCACAGACAGTTTGATTGCTCGGACCCAAACGGACGTTATTTACACAGATCTTACGGTAGCCTTCGATAAGCTGAACCACGAAATTGCGATCGCTAAGCTTGATAGGCTAGGGATCGGTGGAAATCTTTTGAGATGGTTTCGTTCATACCTCACGGAGCGCCAATTGACAGTAACTTTGGGTACTTGTCGCTCAGCAAGTTTCTGCGCAAAGTCCGGTATATCTCAGGGTAGCCATCTGGGACCATTGGTATTTCTCCTTTACTTCTACGACGTTCACCGCGTTATCACAGAGCCAAGATTATCGTTTGCAGACGATCTGAAAGTTTTTCTGCGCCTCCGCTCACTCGCCGACTGCCGTTCTCTCCAAAATCAGAACGACATCTTTGCTGACTGGTGTAGTCTAAACCGACTGGTGGTCAACCCAGCTAGGTGTACAGTTAGTACTTTCTCACGCAAGAAACAACCGATTATTTTCAACTACAAACTACTAGGCACGACTATCGAACGGGTGCATTGCGTGAAAGACTAGGCGTTTTTATGGACTCAAAGCTGACATACTCACACCATATATCGTATGCCGTCGATAAAGCGTCCAGAACTCTTGGCTTTGCCTTCAAGATTACTAAGAACTTCACAGACATTTACTGCTTGAAATCGCTCTATTGCTCTCTCGTACGATCTACGTTGGAATACTGCTCTGCAGTCTGAAGCCCGAACTACAATAATGGGGCCGAGCGAATTGAATCTGTGCAATGATATTTTCTTCGCTTCGCGCTCCGTAAGCTGCTTTGGAGATACCCACTTCGTATTCCAAGCTACGAGAATCGCTGCCAATTGATCAATGTCGAGCCCTTACGTATCCGCCGAGATGTTTTCAGAGCCTTAACCGTCGCCGATACTCTGCAAGAAAGAATCAACTGCAAAGCAATTCTGCAACAAGTGAACATTAATGTTCAACCTCGATCACTACGCAACAGTCTTGTGCTGAGACTTCCACTTTTTCGAACTAATTATAGCTTATGGAGTGCTGTTTACGGCTTGCAGCGAGTGTTCAACCGAGTAGCGTCGATGTTCGATTTCCACCTGACACGGAATATACTTCGCCGAAGATTCCCTGCCTTTTTTTTGCTGACCGAAGGCGCTTGACGCCCAACAGCTAAGTGTAAAATTTAAGACTTATACATTTTTAGTAAGTTGACAATGCTTTTCTGGTTATTTTCGTTTGTAACTGTAGTATATGTAGTATGTATAATCTGTACTTTTTTTTTACAACACATCATTGGGACTATTTCTTGCGAATTGCGTAGTTTTATAATGACCGAAAGGGGTAACTAACTTCTCTGAGCTTTACTCAGTCTAACAATAGGGGAATTCATTAGTCCCATCGAAAACATTTACACTATCGTACAGACTATTGTACAGATCTGATCAGATCTGTACAGTTTAGGAATACCTGGAAATCGGATCATGTTCGCTTGATTTCCATCACTGTTCAGAATCCGCGTTAAACATACATTTTCACTAGAAATAGACCACAGCACAGTACCATGTCTCGCCTCAATTTTTTGCAGGAAATCTTCAGAATCGTCATCAATCTTCTTTCTATCTACGCAGCGTGCACGCAGCTAACCACATCAGAACACACTGCAACACAGATGGAGTCGTCCCACTCGTTTCAGATGATGTATAGTAACCGATATATTTTTCAACATTAAAGAACCAAATTGAAGTCCACTTCCTTGAGGCTGGAGACGAAGAGAGGAAAGCTTGAAACAAAACACATCGTAGGGCCACATCCTGGCCGAACATTCTCCAAGTCCCGGATCGTAAAATTACACTAAGGTTGGGATCTGAAATCATAATTTTTTTTTTCATTTTAATGTTTCAAATCAGAAATCTAGTAGTATTCGAAAATGGATGAATTCTTCTCAAATATTCACCCAAACTACGTTAAACACTACCGCCATCTACTCATGCGACCGCGTCACATCATGAGCAAGGACACGAACACACATAAAATCTATATTGACTTGGTTTACTTCTCACCTCGTTTGACATATCTGATCGCTCGTTTGAAGATCGAATCGCTCATTTTTTAAATCGGATTGCGGACAAACGAAATGCTCCAGTGGCATGTCGGTTCATCGGTGATACTAATGCACCCTTCCTAACACAGACATCAGTTTTGAGTAAGCCAACAGAATGGCAAAAAATTAGGATTTTCCAACAATGATGGAACCCGGAACTTTACATAAGAATGCAATAGGGGAAACAGCCCTATTGTTGCGGTACGTTAGCAGCGTTAGAAGCATATTGTTGTGTATGGAGGGCTGTTTCCCATAGGTACATTTGTCTATCCAGTTAAAGCAGTGACTCCATTTAAAAAAAAAATTAAAACAAAAATGTCTTTATGACGCCCATTCTGCGCCACGAGTAAGGTGGGGTGACTCGTTGTCATTGGTGAGGTAAATCAAATGGAGAGTCACCTCACCTCACTCGCGACGCATAATAGGCCTCTATATTTCAACCGCAAACAATAGATCAACGCAGTAGCAGTAATCCTAATAAAAAAAAACTTATGACACTTACCCATAAAACAAAATGCAACAGACTGGTGTAATTTATCGCTAGGTTATGGAAAACACAATCGTTTAAAGGAAAATACAGGCACTTTCGTTTTAATCTCCACTGCTGATTGGAAAACTTTACACCTATGTGAGAAGCCTAAATCCTATCCTTCTTACCAAGTAAAACATGTAATTTAAAACGTGTTCGTGGTTCAATGTCGTCTCTCGCTTGATCACATACTTACACACTCGTTCTTCACCTCTCCACACTGCACAGTAAAACAGTCATTCACTTTCTCGCACGCACTCACCCCATCACACCGTTTAGGGCATTGATTGGAACACTTGATTATCTCGTACATTTTTACATTCCCACCCAGTATGCTGAAAATCAAACACACTCATACGTTTCTCATGCCGCCACAAACGAAAACAATAGGAACAATCTCGGGCATAATCACGCGGATCCACGCGCTCATACACTCTCATTTATATTTGATATACTCGGGGCACGCACCGCACGCACCTCTTTTTATTCAGTATCTTTAGTATCGTCCATTGGTTTGGATTTCTTCTGTTCTGATTATTATTTTTTATTGAACAAGTCGGTGTCTACTGTCCCGTCAGTCGTGTCCATATTTCTGTATATTTAGATTTAAAATGTTATTATTTATTTTAAGCATCACCAATATTCCCAAGCTCAGAATCGAATCTGGGGAGCAGTCGATTGAATTCGTCGGCCGGTTAAATTATGTAGGAAAATTTAGTGGCTGGTTGAAAGTCAATTTGCTTTGTTCTCTAACAAGTCAGAGCAATAACACACTTCGGCGACAGATAAAGCCTTACGTAAACCCGGAAAGGGTGAACAGTCTTTTACGGCGTAAGACAACATGATTCGAAAGAGGACAAGTTAACTTTGAAACTGTAGCACTGTAACAATTCATTTTCGATCCAATAGCATAAACGGTCGGAACTTTTTTCGGTGAAATGAGTTAGGTGCCAAAATTAGGGCAAAATCAAAAGGCAGCCTTAACGCATAACGACCTCGAAAAAGCACGTAGCAATAACGCGAAAAGTCTCGTGTGTGTAATCACGTTATGAAAAATACATATAACAAAATCAAACCCGGTCCCTTTCTCTCTCTTTCTCTCTCGCTTACGGTGATTGTCACTCTACAACTAAACAACAGAACACGTCTCATCATCGGTCACAGAAGAGAGTTGATCAGCCACAATCTCAGAACAAATTCAACACAACTTTGCTGCTCGCTCTCACCATCATCATCACAACGCGAATCGCCTCTCCATTCATTTTATTCCCTTTCTTCAACTCATCAATGGGTGTCCCGATGTTTTCTAGGTTGATCGCTCTGAAGGCAACATAACAAGAAGATTTGCTATTTCTTCTACAAATGCTAAGATTAGACAGATTACAGAGTTTCCTTTTCTTATGGTATCTAAAGTGGCATCCAAAAACCAAAAGCCTATCAAATTTCACTTTGGTCTTATTTCCGGAGCTAGTTATCCGATCGCGATACAATTCAAGAGAGTCTTACATCACTCAACAGACCTCCGAAAGAAATCAGTTCCGTAAAATGCCGTAGCTCAGGCGCACCTATACCTTATTTTGTAGAAAAAAATAAAATAGAACTTGGGAATAACGACTCAACCTGGTTCAACAACGAGCATTCAACCTAGAGAACGAAACCCACTTCGCAGTCACGATCACAACTCTCAATTCCCAGCTCATCCAATGTTTTCCCATCCTTCGCTCTCGCTCTCTCTCTCTCTCTCTCTCTCTCGCTTTCTTTCACTTTCGACACACACCATCGGACAATTGCATGACTTGACCTTATTTTTTTATTTTTTTTTGTATTTTTTTCTTACTAGATTTTATTGTTATTAATTAATAATCTACACCTTAAGCTTCCTTACTCCTCGCTCTCTCCTCCTCTCTGTTTTTTTCCCCTCTTTTTCCCTAAATAATATGTACTTTTCTTACGTGTTCCTTTCCCCTTCCGTTTCTGTGAGTGTACTTGTGTATAAAGTTTGTGTAAATCGATTGTTTACTCTGCAAACTTCCATTTCCAGCCAATCAGATATCCTCCATTCCAGAGAAAAGGGGAAAGGACACAGGTCAACGAAATAATTCTTTCCTCTAAAATATTACAGTGATTGGTTTCGTTTTATGCTTTATTTTTGTTTTGCTTAACAACCATACTAAAATATACATTCACCATAATAAATCTTTAAAACTCGATTGTGTACTCTTCACACCAGGGATTTATATTCCATTTGCCTCACAGAGACGATCTTAATTAAAAAAAAAAAAAAAACTCGAGTTCTGGCCAATAATACGCACCCTCAGGGTGGATTCTGTAATATTTGTCGAATCAGAAGTATTTCGTTCCCTTTGCTTGTTTTTTTTTTTTGCTGGTGGATATTTCAATTTCCATTGTTCTCTATAACTGTAATTAAATATTATTTCTGTTTAAATTTACTTATGAATACATGTTGTATGTTGAGTGTGTTTGTTTGTATTCTGTGTCGGAATTTATGATGTCAAAGTTCCTTCGTAAGTTGACTGGAAAACAAAACGAGTGCCACGGTGAAAGTATACAACAGATGAATAACAATTTTTTTTTTCTTCTTATTTTTGACGAAACTTTACAACTTGACTAACCGTTTCCGAGTCGGAGTTTGGGTGCTTTTTTTTTGCCCTCCGGAAGAGAGTTTCCGTTTCACTATGGCACACGCTTCAACTATATCCTAGAGCTAGGTTTTGTGTAATTTGGAAAGTTTGCATTTAGTTGAAGAAGAGATGTACAGACTGTGTGTGTAGTGGTGTCTCGCTAGGTAGGGCTTGTTTACTTTTTTTTTTTGGATAATTGATTTAATTTAATTAGCTTACACAGTAATAATTTATCTTTCACTACAACACAGATTTTTGTTTCTGGTTTTGCTCGGCTGTACAGTTCATGCTTCTGTCCCAAACCCATTACCAACATTATCATCAACAGCAGAAGCAGCATCAGCATCGCGGTCCCTCCCCCACCCAGATCTTGGAGTTTCATATGACGGAAAAAATGGGTTTTTTTTACTTACTTGCTGTGTCACTTGAGGGCAGATGCGCCGAGAGGATTGGCGCCCCGCACAAACCTTAGATCTGCAGTGACACGTCGAAACAGAGATTATCGCTGTAGTAATAGTTGCATTGGAAGGGTTCATCGTCCTCATCCTGGATAGAAACGGCGGTGGCGACGGCGGTGGAGGACAGATCCAAAGGAATCAAGTCGTCTTGTTGTATGGGAGAAGAGGCTGATGGCTGAGACTGGGACAACGATGATAATACAAACGGCGAAGTGCTATTAGTAGTAACAGGATTACATTGCTGGAACTGTGCTGCTGTTGGTGCCGGCGGTACCGTTGGCTGTTGTGTAGTTGAGCGTGTTACCATTGATGCTGGATTAAATCTGCAAGTAGTAGAGAATCAATTACGATGGAATATGGTGGGGATGGGTAGGCGTGGTTCGGTCTGCACGGTTTGTAAGCGGTTTATGAAATGGTTATGTCGTTCTTTCGTGAGGCGTGTGTGAGCGGATTTGTAATTAGACGGAAATGGTTTATCTTCTTTGCATAGAAGGGTATAAGCTCACTTTAGTAGCTTGCATGAATTTAACAAAGCGGGAGTTAGATTTTCCTGTTGCTCCAAGTAATTCGGAAAGCATTGTGCAATAGCGAAATCAAACTTAAAGTTGAGGTTGATGCGAAAGTATGAGAGGAAACCAAACCAAATTAATTCATTTTCATTTTCATTTTCAAGCACAGAAGGGTGGCATAGGGCCAGATCTCCAGTGAAAAATCACTGTCCATACAGCACAAGGGTAGAGGTAAAGATTTGGCACCACAGAATAATAATCACAGAGATCAAGTGAATCCTGCTTAAGATGCCGGATAGGGAAGATTAGTGTTTCAAATAGGGGATAGTCGGAGTAACAGTAGTAATAGTTGGAAAGTAAACGTACAGAGGACCATGTTTTGCAATACCTTCTTAATCATGATCTTTTTGAAATGTTTGAGAATCAGTGTCAGTCAGTGCCATTGTCTTTGTCGATGTCTTTACGTTTGTCAGTTGCCATTGTCAATATAGGTGTTGTCTCAACGTATATGTTCTTGTCAATGACAGCATTGAAAGTATCCGTGGAAGTATTTTTCACTGTGTGTGTTTATGTGTGTTTTCACCAAATGATTATATTTCTTCCTCATCTCCTAGTTTTAACTGCGTTCAAGAATAATTAACTAAAAAAAAAAAAACAAAATGTAGCAAAAGTTTATACTATAACATGTCTAACTTACTATCTAATTTTGTTGACTAATATCTAAATGTAATTTTTAATCTTTAAATATGTGGAACCTCTTAACGGAATTCCTTTATGAAGCGCTTTGAGTGTGTAATTTTTAATTTTATGACGATAAATTACTCAAAATAGCGGCCTGTAATTGCGTACCAGAATACACCTCCAATTCAATGTCTTTTGTGGATTCGTAGAAGCAAAGTTGGGTTAAAAGCTAAATAGTTACCTAAAAATTCTACCTAAATCGTTCACAACCAGAGCCAGATCACTGATGAAAATCAAAACTACAACCCTGAAAAACGTATCGAAATTTTCGAAGGCGAACACTCCGCAACCTATTCTTGCTACTGATTCTGTCCAATTGTTAGGTATCCAAATTATAGTCATCCGTAAATTTATTATTGAATATATGGATGAATTATCTATTATTGAATAACTATTATTTACGATAATTACATGAAAGAAATTAAATATAAACTACAAACAAAACGTAACTACTAAAATCTCAAAAAGATATTCTCACAAATGTAGTTCACACAACCAGGCCTGCTTCCACTCACTCGCCACCTTGCACATGTTAGACACAAGGAGGGGCCGAAAGACAAGCGTCTGACTCACAAAACCCGTCAAATCTACCTGCAGATAGTCACAATCAACGATTCTACGAATCGTGAGCGCTAACTCTGATTGAACGCTCACGAATCATAAAATCGCTGACTGTGACACTCTGAAAGCGAAATTAACAGGTTTTATGCGTCAAACACCCGCTATATAATCTCTTCCCATATCCAACAAGTACAAATCTCCACTGCAACATCCAACGAATCCAAAACCCCAAAAATCACTCCTCTATAGCAAGTGAGTGGAAGCAACCCTGCACGCAACCTTTCTTCATGATACACTTTTTCTACCTATCTTTCTATTAGGCCTGTGGACATGCGTTAGCTTCGAAACTTCTAACCAAACTGGGAAATCTATCAGATCACAAGAAAGAACACAAAAACTTAGAACGTTTCAAAGGTAATTACAGGTAAAATAAATATTGATTATTTTACGCAAAAACGAGCAAGTAATATTAAATCACTTGTATCGTATGCTAATGCTAATTGACTGTGACAAAAACAATATGCTAAAATAAAATAAAATTTTAATAAAATGATATGCAAAATTTTCTAGAAGGTCATTACTTTATTGGTGAGAAGTTTCTAATAAGCCCTCCCAGTTCCTCTGTATACACAGAACAAATCTGATACTATAATCAGAATTGCTCAGTCTGCATGAAGCAGCCGATTTCATCAAGGAAGTTCGAGCCGAGAATCAATCGTTTGAGGCATACTGAAGCACTAAGAAGGTGATATGTGTCACTATAGAAAATCATCATCGTTGCAAATATAAAGGAATTAAACATAACCCTTTGCTTAAGTACCGTCAACCTCCATGTCCATGGGGAGGGAGGAAACCAAACCAAATTAATTTAAACAAAATGATGACTCATTATACTGCCTATAATCCCATATCAGTCCCATATGGAAAAAGGGGGTACTGAAAAAAAAGGCAGTCGAAGAAGTGTGATTCCCACGCAAATATTTGAGAAATCATAGTAAATTTATTTTTTTTTTTTTTTCAAGTTAAAATCAGTTGCATTGAAGCTTGCATATTATCGAAGACTACAAATCAAGAAGACTGGCAACTGTTCCCTTCTCCCATACAAATGTCAAACGTCACTGATAACAGCGCTTCTGTCAATCAAAGGTGGAACTTTGAAGCACAAGTGTTAGTGAGACTGCTCATAAACAGTGACTATGTGTGTCACCGAAACAAATAATCATAACACGGCAGTCGTTATGTTGTTTTTCTCTACAAAATTTCACGGCAATTGGTATCCTAATCCCAGCAAGCCGGTGGTTATCCACCTCTAAACCGAAAAACTTGTCATAGTGGATCAAGTGGATTGAAATTCGGATCGATACCTACACGGTAAAATCTAATCCAAATGCTCTTGCACTTGACTCAGTCTGTCATGCGGTACTACGAATCGAAGTGATTTATCATTAATTTTCAAGTGATTTACGTTTTGAAACAAAGTGATTTGTCGTTGAAAAATATGTAGGGGGAAGTCCTCTATGCTCGGACACTTTTTGTTTTTCAGCAATAACTAAAAAAGTACTGGATTTCAGGTGTTTACTTTCCCATTTTTTTTTTATTGAGTATCAAGCTGGAGCTGCGTGACAGCTTAGTTTTCAAAACTTGACCCATTTGAATAAATTTTGCTTCTATCTTTGACAATACAGCAGAAGGACTAGCCTCTGTTGGCCGCTTGAACACTGGATTCCGTATGTATTGTTTCAAGATAGTTATAGAAAAAATGCTGTGACGTGTGCGTGTAGATACATCCGCGTAGTAAACCGATTGAATAAGTAAATCCGTTTCGAACGAAATATCTAAATTATGTAAGTTACGAAAACCGCGCGAACTCCGAAAGCCGTGCGAGACAACCGAAGCGAGAAAAAAGGCTTATTATCATTTAAAGAGTGCCAGAAAAATAAATGTGATAGCCTATGTTGGCAAGTTGATTAATGTTGGTTTCCTCCCTAAATATTCTACTTATTTCACTGTTGAGCTTTGTATCAAATTAGTTTATTTAAGAACGTATCAATAATTTCAAGATTTCGCGACCGCACCGAACAAATGCTATACTACATAAGCTCAAAAGCGTTTGACAAGCTCTACCGAACTGCGTATCACTTCTGCGTAAGCTCCGTAGACGTAGGCGCGTTGAATCCGACAGTCGGCAAAGGTTTAACCTGTACCAACACCGCTTAAGGAACGACCTCGGTCAGTAAAACCGTTTAGAGCTAAACATCTAAATTACGTAAGATACGCAAATCGCGCAAATTGTGAACGCCACGCGAAACAACCGTAGAGAAAAAAAAACAGCTTATTATCACTTAAAGAGTGCCACCAAAATAAATGTGATAGCCTATGTTGGCAAGTTGATTAATTTTGGTTTCCTCCCTAAATATTCTACTTATTTCACTGTTGAGCTTTGTTTCAATTTAGTTATTTTACCGCACGTATCAATCATTTCAAAATTTCGCGACCGTACCGAACAATTTCTATATAATATAGAAGCTCAAAAAAACTTTTGGTGAGCTCTACCGCATTGCGAATCACTTCTGCGTAAGCTCCGTAGACGTAGGCGCGTTGATTCCGTCAGCCGCGAAAAGTTAAACATGCATCAATACCACATAAGGAAAGATCGATTTTACGTATGGTTTAGTTCATAGATTAACATTGACTGCTGTTTACAAATGTAAGTACTTGAACACTAAGAAATAAGTTAACTCAAATGCTTTAACCGCATATATAAGAGATTTCGCGTATTGAGAGAATAATATAGTAATCGAGTACAACAAACTCAGGGGAATACAATACCTCCAAAAGTTTAAAAGCTATTAATTGTCACATACCTCTACTGTTACTTATTTCCTTAACTATTCCTCTCCTTCTTAATCTGCTTAATGCTATTGGTCTGCCTGCGTTTTCTTTTTAAATTTCAAGACTAAATACACAGATTTATTCTACAACTTTAAAGGTTAGTTGCCTCCCTAAGCGGACCCCCCGCATCCTAATTCTTTTGGTAATCTACTTAATGTCATTAGACTTTCTGAAGTTTCTTATTTAAGTTCATTTGATGATTATGATATTTCATTAGTCTAATTTAATAAATTATTAAAAGCTCTAATTCACCTAATCAATCATAGCCCATGCTTTATTATGTACCTGCACTTGTGCTTGTAATCTAAAATTAAACGTGTTTCAAGTACTTTTGATTTAAACCTATACCTATTTATTATATCTTAGTTCGACCCAGGTTACACCTTCATGTGACTAAAATGCTTCATTTTGAAGTTAGTTTCCTAGCTGATTTTTAAATTATATAGGGTACTAGAGAAACGATACCTCAACAAGCAAGGGCGCATTTATAGAACCAGCTAGAAGATGTTAGGGAAGGTTCAGTAAATTACCTGCAAGAGGTAAGGCCCGCGTCTACCTTAAGAAGTACATTGTTTAAGAATTGTAGCGCGGGAAGGATGATCACACGCATCGCCCGACTC